ATCAGAGCAGAAATAAATGGCATAGAGACAAAAAAAAAAAAAAAAAAAAAAAAAAAAATCAAACCAAGAGCTGGTTCTTTGAAAGGATAAATAAGATTGAGGGACCTCCTCTAACCAGGCTCACCACGAAGCAAAGAGAGAGGTTCCAAATAAAATCAGAAATAAAAGTCGAAATAACAACAGACCCCACAGAAATACAAAGGATGGTAAAAAAAAAACAAAAAAAAAACTATTAACAACTTTATTCCAAAAAACTGCTCACCCTAAAAAAGGACATATTCCTAGAAAAATGTGACCTTCCAAAACTCAATCTTTAAAAATAAAAATAAAAAATTTGAATAGGCTGATAACTATGGAGGAAATTGAATCAGTAATCGAAAATCTTCTAGCAAACAAAAGCCCTAGGCCAGATTGCTTCACAGGGGAGTTTTGCCAATCATTCAAAGAACTAAAACCTATTCTCCTCAGACTATTCCAATGTATTCAAGAGGAAGGAACATTTCCAAGCTCTTTGTGAAGCCAGCATTACCTTAATCCCAAAACCAAATAAAGACACCACAAAGAAAGGTAATTATAGGCCAATATCTCTGATGAATATAGAAGCTAAAATCCTCAATAAAATTCTAGCAAACTGGATCGAGCATTACATTAGAGAGATCATGCACCATGACCAAGTGGGATTTATTCCAGGAATACAAGTAAGCTTCAATATCTGCAAATTAATAAATGTAATATACCACATAAATAAACTCAGAGATAAAAATTACATAGTCATGGATTGATGCAGAAAAAACATTTGACAGAATCCAATAACCTTTCTTGTTAAAAACTCTCTGCAAAGTGGGACTAGAGGAATCATATCTCAACATAATAAAAGCCTTATATTACAAACCTACAGCCAACATCTAATTCAATTGACAAAGATAGGGATGCCCTTTCTCACCAATACTATTCGACATAGTACTGGAAGTACTAGCCATAGCAATTAGAAAAAAAGAAGAAATAAAAGGCATCCAAATTGGAAAAGAAGAAATAAAATTGTCATTATTCTCACATTACATGATACAAAGAAAACCCTAAAGATTCCATCAAAACACTATTAGAGTTAATAAATGAATTGGCAATGTAGCAGGATACACAATTAATACCCAGAAATCTATGGCTTTTTTACACACCAATAATGAATTCACAGAAAGAGAAACAAAAACAATCCCATTTACCATTGCACCAAAAAGAAAAGAAAAACAAAGTTACCTAGGAATAAACTTAACTAAGAAGGTAAAATATCTGTCCTCAAAAAACTATAAGACATTGAAAAAAAAAAAAAAAGATAGAGGAAGACATAAAGAAATGGAAGAATATACCATGTTCATGGATTGGTAGAATCAACATCATTAACATGATCATAATACCCAAAGTAATCTATAGATTTATTGTAATTCCCATTAAGTTACCAATGGCCTAGAACAAATTCTCCAAAAATTCATATAAAATTAAAATGACTCCGAATAGCCACAGCAATCTTGAGAAAAAAGAAAAAAGTAGGAGGGATCATAATTCCAGATGTCAAGCCATATTACAAAGCCACTGTCCTCAAAACTGACTGGTACTGGAACAAGAACAGACATATAGACCAATGGAACAGAACAGAGAACCCAGAAATTGATCCAATTAATGCTCAATTAACATTTGACAAAGAAGGCAGGAGCATACAGTGGAGTCAAGACAGTCTCTTTAATAAATGGTGTTTGAAAAATTGGACCATTACATGCAAAAGAAATTAAGCTAGACCACCAGCTTACATCATACAAAAAAAGAAAAATAAACTCAAAATGGATAAAGGACTTAAACATAAGGAAAAGCCATAAAAATCTTAGAGAAAGCCAAGGGCAGCAAAATATCAGACATATGTCTTAGCAATATCTTCGCTGATGCAGTTCCTAGGACAATGGAGACTAAGGAGAAAATGAACAAATGGGACAGCATCAAAATAAAAAGCTTTTGAACAGCAAAGAAACCATCAACAAAACATTAAGAAAGCCCACTGCATGGGAGAACGTATATGCCAGTATTATTTCTGACAAGGGTTTAATCTCCACAATTTATTGGGAAGTCATACAACTTACAAAAGTAAGATAAACAACCCAATCAAAAAATGGGCAAAGGATTTAAATAGACCCTTCCCCAAAGTGGACATACAGAAGGCCAAGGGATATATGAAAACATACTCAAAGTCACTAATCATCTGAGAGATGCAAATCAAAATAATAATGAGGTACCATCTCACACCTGTCCGAATGTCTGTCATCAATAAATCAACAAATGACAAGTGCTGTCAAAGATGCGAAGGAAAAGGAACCCTCCTGCACTGCTGGTGGGAATGAAGACTCGTGCAGCCCTTGTGGGAAACAGCATGGAGTTTCCTCAAAAAACTAAAAATGGAACTCCCATTTGACCCAGTGATCCCACCTCTAGGAATCTATTCCAAGAAATAAGAAACACCAATCAGAAAGGAAAAATGCACCCTATGTTCATAGCAGCACAATTTACAATAGCTACGATTTGGAAACAGCCTAAGTGCCCATCAGCAGATGAGTGGATTAGAAAGCTATGGTACATCTACACAATGGAATACTACGTTGCTGTAAAAAAGAAGGAACTCTTACCATTTGCAACAGCATGGATTGACCTGGAGATCATTATGCTAAGCGAAGTAAGCCAGTCAGAGAAAGATAAATATCACATGATCTCATTCATTTGTGGAATATTGTGAACAACATAAACTGATGAACAAAAATAGATCCAGAGACAGAGAAGCATATAACTGACTGTCAAGCCTCAGTGGAAAGGTATAGGATGGAGGGCAGGTAAGAGATCAACCAAAGCACTTGTATGCATCCATATAAGCACTACCAGTGGACATGGACACTAGGGGGGTAAGGTCATGTGCTGGGAAATGGAGATAGGGAGAGGTCAATGGAAAAAAAGAGACATATGTATTAATTTAATCAATAAAGAATTTATTAAAATATATAAGTAAATAAATAATATTATAATAGCTATGTAAGAGCCAGTGGGGTATTTGAAATATCAGGGGGACTACTCTGTAAAGTATATGATTGTATAACCACTATGTTGTACACCTGAAACTAATACAGAATAATATTGAATGTGAAGAATAATTGGGAAAAAAGATGGAAAATTGTATGTTATATGTTTTTCATCACAATAAAAAAATTTTTTTTTTAAATTAACAAGCCCAGCTGCTGTGACTCAGTGATTGAGTGTCAGCCTTCAGGAGGTCACAGTTCAATTCCAGGTCAGGGCACATGCTGAAGTTATAGACTTGACCCGCAGTGTGGGGAGTGCAGGAGGCTGCTGGTGGATGATTCTCTCTCATGTCTCATGTTTCTGTCTCTCCCTCTCTTCTTCTCCGAAATCAATAAAATATATTTTAACAACAACAAAAAAGAAAGAGCAAGACACTTTAGCAAGTAAGAGAAAGAAGTAAGGACTGATATAAACAAGCCCTTCGATCTTAATAATTCTAATAGGAGTCAATGCTATGTCATTGCTAAAGTTCAGGATTGGGTTCTCAAAGAAGAGTGGCAAGTCCTTGGGTTACTCTTTCTTAGAATGATTGTTTCTGACATTTCTCACATTCCTTCATGGGCTGGCTCACTTGCATTTGTGCTGTCATCTCCTCAAATGCAGTACACTGAGCTGAAAGTCATTATCTTCTGCCTAAACTAGCCATCACCCTTTACCTCACTTCACCTTATTCTGGACAGTATTTTTTCTCCTGGATTTCTTGTTTCAAACCTTACCTTTCAACTCTTACTATTCCTTTACTTCCCTTTTGTACTGTTACCAAATCACCTATGTACTCTCTTTTTTACTTCCTTCCCACCATAAGTTCTTTCTGATTGCCTGACAGTTGAATATAGTTTCCAGAAGGCAAGTTCTCTGCCCTCTGCATTCCTTACTTGTTAGCTAGGTCTTTCTTAAACCTTGATTATATCGTGTTCCCCTCCTGTGCTCCCACCCCACCCCCCACTTGAAAATGTGCTCCAATGATAAAGTCTGCAGTCTTCAACTTTGGCATTCATGGTCTTATCCCTTTTCTTCCAGTATTACCCCATCACGGTTTGACCTAAACATTCCACATTTTTATCTGCCTACCTTTCTTTATTCTGTCTTGTCTCTGCTTCCTAATTCATATAGTTGTTCTTTTTGTCAGGGATAAATCAAGGTTTTGTGTATTCTGTTGCTTAATTCTTTTGGGACTCCCTTAAGAAAAAGAATACAAAATTAAAAATACTAAATTAGGGACAGAGCACACTGGATAGGACCCAAACAAATGAAACTGCATTAGTTCCCCATATGTCAGCCCCAACCCTTCCATCATCTTGCTTGTATTTTAGCCTAAATTATGCAAAGGAGACAAAGGTTTCCTCCATGAAGCTTTCGTTTGACCCCAGCCAACACTAATATCACCGGTTAGCTGAAGGCAAGGATCTTGCCTTATACTACTTTATAGTCACACCGAGTCTTATACCTTAAATTTAATGATTACAAAGAAAAACTACTACTTAATTAAATTATTACAAAATAATCAGAGTTGAGAAGTTTCTTACATACATCCTTTTTTTTTTTTTTTTTTTAAATAGTTGTTCTCAAAATGCTAAGCCTTTATTGGGGCCCAGGGTCAGTTTCTGTTATGTACTCTATAAGATTTCTTTGTAGAACCATATATGTTCTGTGGTTATATATGTCCTAACATTATTTTTAGAAGTTACGTATGCTCTTTTTGTTGGTATGTTGTAGACAGAAGATGTATTATTTTAGGAAAACATTTTTTACAAAATATGGAACTTGGTTATTATATAGTATTCAAAGGATCTGTCCTGAGAGTTATTTGTTTTTGTTGTTATTGACCTATAGAGCTTGTACGGGTAAGCGACCTCTGTTCATTTCCTGTGTGTCCGCCTCACCTGCAGGGCTCACCCAGGAAGGCCTTTTCAGGGTGAACGGCAACGTGAAGGTGGTGGAGCAGCTGCGCCTCAAGTTCGAGAGCGGCGCCCCGGTGGAGCTGCGGGAGGACGGCGACGTGTGCGCGGCGGCCAGTCTGCTGAAGCTCTTCCTGCGGGAGCTGCCCGAGAGCGTGATCCCCGCCGCCTTGCGGCCTCGGTTCCTTCAGCTCTTCCAGGGTCAGTGCAATAAATAATTCCGTTTTCCAGTTAAAACTAAACTTTTAGCACTGGCTGATTTGGCTCAGTGGGTAAGATCTTTGGCTTGCGAATGAAAAGGCCCTGGGTTCGATCCTAGTCAAGGACACATGCTTGGGTTGCTGGCTTGATGGAGGGGTGGGGAGGGTGAGTGAGTATGCAGAAGGCAGCCCATCAATGATTCTCTCTCTCTCTCTCATTCTCCCTTCATTTCTGAAATCAATAAAAATATATATTTTTAGAAATAAAACTTTTAGATATTACATATTTTAATTTTAAATTAAACTGGAAATATTAAAATGAGCTTTTACATATTTGTCATCCCTCTATCATCACCATCTTGCTATTTTACTCTAGGCCCCCATCTTCTACCCTAAAATAATACTAAACTGACCATGAATACCACTACTAAGTGGAATTCCTAAGACTGTTGGTATAGGAATACTTCAGTAACATAATAATAAGAAGCCCTTATGCTTTGGGGCCAAAGAATTCTTTTCTGACTAAGGATTGCTATAGGAGGGAGAATGCGGCGTTAAACTGTGTAGGAAATAATAAGTGAATTGTATTTGGTTAGTGAACTTCGAAAGTGACAGGTCACTTCCTTTTCTCATAAACAAGATTGAATCCTAAGATAACTACATTAATTCTGTGAGGTACAATTGATTTATGATTGTAGTTTGAAGTAATTTTAAATGAAGAAACTTTTTGTTTTGTTTTGTTCTCACCTATGGATGAGTTTAGTGATTTTGAGAGAGAAAGAAAGGGAAAGAAAGAGAGAGGCAAACATCCAGCGTCTACCTCCCATACTTGCCCCTACCAAGGATCCAAACCACAGCCAGGCATGTGCCCTGACTGGGATCGGACTGGCACTAATGACGCCCAGCCAACTGAGCCACACCGGCCAGGGCACAATTTTTTCTTTTACTACTATTCTCTCATTCCTTGAAAACCTCTGGGGCTAAATCTGAGATGCTTCATAAAGTATTAATGGGATACCTGCTAGTTATATACTAACCTGTTGAGTAAAGGGAATAAGGTATCAGATTGTGTAACCTCTGTAAAAATAAACTTCTCTCTTTACTAATCCAGGTAGATAATAAGGAGTTACTCTCACAGAGGGTGCATCTGGTCACTCTAACTGGAGGTATCACTGCTGGTTACAGACTCTCTGAAAGCAGTTACAGTATTTTCATCTCCCCTTTTCTGCTACACATTGATATCTAATGAAATATTTTTGCTATAATTTCCTGAATAAAGACTACCCTGCTCTCATGTTTGTCTCATCATAACAGATTAGCTTTCCAGATATTCTGTCACAACTCAATGCCAGATTTCTTTTTTTTTTTTTTTTTTTTATGTTGTTAGGGATCTTCAGATTATATCCTATATAGAGAGCAAGCTACCTCCTAATTGAATAGCTTAAAATTCTTAGATCAAGATCCTATTTTCCATGCTAAAGAGCACAGAATTCTGGAGCCTCAACTAAGTATTGTTCAGACATTTGAGCTGAAGAGAGTCTGGATGCTACCCCAGCATCCCTGCTGTGGGGCAGCCTTTGGTTTTGTAGACAACCGGGCCCTCTGAGGAAGAGCACATTTACAATTTCACTTTCTAACAGATTACCAGCTTTGGGAGCTGTCTGGTACCAATCAGAGATTATTATTACATTTTTGCTTAGCAAACCAGAATATCTGCACACCAGGTATTTATTAAAAACTACCTAAAAGGTGATTTCTGTAAGAATGTTTTGCTCCTGCCGAAACTGGTTTGGCTCAGTGGATAGAGCGTTGGCCTGTGGACTGAAAGGTCCCGGGTTCAATTCCGGTCAAGGGCATGTACCTTGGTTGCACGCATATCCCCAGTGTGGGTGTGCAGGAGACAGCTGATGGATGATTCTCTCTCATTGATGTTTCTGTCTATCCCTCTCCCTTCCTCTCTGTAAAAAATCAATAAAAAATATATGTATTTTTTAAAAAAGAATGTTTTGCTCCTGTCACAGGGTTGGTGTGGACAATTTCTGGTTAAGAGATCATCTTTTTCTGTTTTCATGTGAAACTTATATCTGATTGCAAGGACTCATCTTCCTTAATTGAGGCTTTTAAATTAATGATCTCAGTTTGGCTATATTCCATGCCTTTGATCCTTTATTCTTATCTTGGTGAGCCAGTAATATATGTTTTCTCTTTTTATAGTCTCAGGTGTGTTTGGGGAATTGTATACAATAAAAAGACTTTGGGATAGGATTAATTTAATTTAGGATTAAATAGAAATCCATTCATTTCTGTGAATGTTCCCTATGGAAAAATCTGTAATATAAATGCAAATATTCCTATCCCATAATTGGATATGGAAGGCCCACCCTGGCAAAGGGGGTTTTTCTGACTGTCGTGAGTGGAAATTAATAAATTAGGGAGTTTTGAGACCAGATTGCATTAGCACCAAGAAGAGCTGATGCAGACTCTACTTTGACAAGCAGCTATTATTCTTCAGGAATTCAAATCTTTTCTATCTGTACCTAGGGTGGGGCTTTTATTTTTAAAATACTTCAGCCTGTCAGACCTGATCTTTTGTCCTGAAAAGAAGAAGCAGTCTCCCACTTTCTAGGAACCTTCTGTGGCTGACTAATGCTCCTTCCCTTCCTTCAGGTGAATTTGGGACTTAGCCCAAAGATGCATGCTATTAGCTTGGTAAGATCAGATGTATGCTCTTTTGCTCTTTGTGGGGTCCTTTTTTTTAAATCTAATTTTTCTTTTATTGCATTTTTTCATTTTAAGAAAAACAATTTTAAGTATAAATGTTTATCTCAGTGATCCAGCTGTTTTTTTGTTTTGTTTTATTTTTTTTGTTTTTTATTGATTTTTTACAGAAAGGAAAGGAGAGGGATGAGAGTTAGAAACGTCTATGAGAGAGAAACATCCATCAGCTGCCTTCTTCTGAGGATGTGCCCGCAACTAAGGTACTTGCCCTTGACTGGAATCGAACCTGGACCCTTCAGTCCAAGGGCCAATGCTCTATCCACTGAACCAACTGGTTAGGTACAGCTGTTTTTATTTAAGAAAGAAGAGGGATCTTGATGTGGCATCCAGACAATTGGTCAGATAATACAAATCATGAAAATGAAGAGGGAAAGTTAAAATGAATGTCAGTGCTTAGGAGATTAAGGCTGAAGATGTGAATTTCATAGTCATCTACATAAACTCATCAGTCTTCATACTTATCATTCTGAATATTATAGCTATAAAGAGATGACAGTAAAGTAATTTTATATATTTTTCATCATGCTTTAAGTGCCTATTCTGTGCCAAGATTGCACCTAGTTGCTTTATATATGTGTGACCTCTAAACCCATTACAACTACTACTACAAATACAGTTAGCCTTGACCAATGAAGGGTTAGGGGCACCAACCCCTGCACAGTAGGAAATCCACATACAGGTTTGTTTGTGCTTTTGTTGTTGTTGTTGTTTTTGTGTGTGTGTATGTGTGTGTTTTTAAGGTATTTATTGATGAGAGAGAGAGAGAGAGAGAGAGAGAGAGAGAGAGAGAGAGAGAGAGAGAGAAGCATCGATTTGTTGTTCCAATCATTTATGCCTTCATTGATTGCTTTTTGTATGTGCTCTGACCATAGATCAAACCTGCAACCTTAGCATATTGGAAGGACACTCCAACCAACTGAGCTACCTGACTAGGGCTCCATGTATAGCTTCCGACTTCCCCAAAACTTAATGACTAATAGCCCACTGTTGACAGGAAGCCTTACCAATTGCACAAGCAGTCAGTTAACATATTTTGTATTTATATGTATTATATACTGTATTCTTATAATAAAGATAGCAAGACAAAAGAAAATGTTATTAAGAAAATTATAAGGAAAAGAAAATACTTTTATAGTATTTACACGGGGATTGGGAGGAGAACACACATATAAAGGACTCAGGTAGTTCAAACCAGTGTTATGCAAGGGCCAGTTGTATTTCAGTGGATAAGGAAAGTGAAGCTCAGTGAGGGAAAGTTAATTACTTTGTAGCAAATTGGGAACTGCCTCCCTGCAATGCCCACACTTTCCCCAGCATATATTGTGCATTAATCAGCTTGGGCTGCCATAGCAGAATGCCACAGACTGGAGGGCTTAACCAAGAGAAGTATATTTCCTCACAGTTCTGGAGGCTCGAAGTTCATGACTAAAGGTGCTGGCAGGGTGGTTCCTAGTAAGATCTCGCTCCTTGGCTTGCAGATAGTGCCTTCTCACTGTGCCTTCACTTGGCATTTTCTCTGTGTGCATGTTCTACTGTCTCTCTTTCCCTTCTTAGAGCCCTACTTCTATGCCCTCATGTAACCTTAATTATCTTCTTATAGGCCCTATCTCCAATTACAATCACACTGGGGGTGAGTAAGGCTTTAACCTGTGAATTTTTTAAGGACAGAATTCAGTGCATAACACTGTGCTTTTAAAAACGTATGACACACCCCTTCAGAACCAGCAGGTCCCAGTTCCCAGTAAGGGCACATGACTATTCTTCAAGCTCAATCCCCAGTATGGGGCACGCAGGAAGTAGCTGATCTCATATGTTTCTATCTCTTTGAAATCAATAAAAATACTACAAAAATGTAAAGATCAGAGCAGAGATAAACTATATAGAGACAAAAAAAAAATACAAAAGATCAACAAAACCAAGAGCTGGTTCTTTGAAAAGAAACAAGATTGATGAACTACTAGCCAGGTTCACCAAGAAGCAAAGAGAGGGAACCCAAATAAACAAAATCAGAAATGAAAGAGGTGAAATAACAACAGACCCCACAGAAATACAAAGGATTGTTTAAAAAATACTACAAACAACTCTATTCCTGGAGGAAATGGACATATTCCTAGAAAAATATAACTTTCCAAAACTCAATCAGAAAGAATCTAAACAGCTCAATAAGCCAATAATTATGGAAAAAACTGAAGCAGTCATCAAAAAGCTTCCAGCAAACAAAAG